AGAGAACACAATTTTAAATAAACGTACCCTCCTTACAACAAGAACACAACTTTCACTAGGACTGTACGGGAGGGTTTGATTATATCTTTATTGCTGTCATTTTTTAAACATAGTACTGAGAAACTGGAGTTGTTAAAAAAATTTTTGTTTCAATAAATGGTACAACTTTTAATATATATATATAAAACCATTATAATTTATATGAATAAAATTTACAAAAATGTTGAGCTCTGTACATTGAATCATTTTGATGCAATGAGTTGTTTTTGACTAAAGAGCACAAACCAAACACTTTTCTAATCTTTTTTCAATGAAGTATTAATACTATGATCAGTAATTACTATCACGAACAGACATCCGTAGGGGGCATTTCTGCTAGTATAAATAATTTTCATAAGTAACAATGTATTGATAATGTTCATCGGCAATACTGCACAGATTAAACAATATTCAATCGATAGTATTTTTATTAACACTCACGAAGGACAAGACAAATAGGTAATTTCATTTTGCAAAAGACAGTGCACTTACATCCACAATCTTTTTATTCATAAAAGAGAATCAACATGGGTCTTCAGTGTATGGTTAAAGAGTCTAAAGCATGTAATACAAATTTTGTAAAAAACTTATTCTCAATAACTTATAATCAAAATAATCTAAATACATAGATCAGAACTAAAAATCATAATTTAGTGGATAATGTATCAAATTTTATATACTGGTCATACCAGGAGAATTTAATGTTAATGTCATAAAAACAAGTCAAGAGAAAAGAAACATTTCTAATGATCAGAATGCACTGATTCAACAGTTTGGTATCATCAATATTTTCAAAATGTTCAGCCAAAATCTCACAATATTCAGCCAGCTTGAAAAATTCAGGTTAGTCCTGAGTGGATAATGCAGTGGTTCATAATATCAGTTTTTTTTGTTTTTTTTAGTTATGTACGATGAGTCCAGTGGTTAAAAATACTTCCATATGTGTTACTTCAAAAAAAGTTGCACCATGTTATGCAAGTGAAGAATTATTGAAAATACATGTATTTCAAACAATTTTGTTTAAAATAAAAGAATTATAAAAAAATACAACTTTCTTACAGATAAAAATGATTTTAACATCTGTTTATATTTTGAATTTATCTTAATTTATCGTAATTTAGAAATAATAAACACTTGATATGTTTCAGCTGAGCTTACAGTTTATGTTAAAAAACTAAGTAACAGGCAGGGAATTACCAGTCATTGTCTTGCCATTTATTATCTTAATTCAAACTTCAAAACTTGCGTTTCTCAGCACTATTAGAATAGTTTGGTCACCAAGATGGATTAGCTAAGAGTGTAAACAGTTATGTTTATAACATTTTAGATGTCTAGTATTAAATTACTTTTATATACTTGTTAGAAAGGTTTTTATTTTGATTGACCAAAGTTCTTAGTTTCTATATAAAGTAATACAGTTTGCTTTAAGTAGAAGATGAGCAGTCAGATATATTTGGTGCAGGCTTTATTTTACTTACGGCATAGCATTTAACTTCACCTCCGCTCTCCTTTGAATATAGGTGGCAGGAATAAAACCCTCCCTTGCATCAGCATGTCGAGCACGTAACCAATTTGGATCCTGAAACAGGTTTTACAAAAATTTCATTTCATTAAAAACTTTTTTGTCAAAAAATATAAAAATCTCACAATGATTTACATTGTATACTATTAACAAATCAGAACAAGAAATAATATTATATTTTTAAACTCCCAAATGTTTAGATGATATGTGCCTACTTTTCGGTTAATGTCAGATGTTTCTTTTAACTCTTTGACTACAGAACTAGGTGCATTGCACCTAGTACATAATTAAGAAAGTAACCATGAAAGTAACCACACTATAACTTCTGATGGTGTACACATATTTTAACAAAATTTTGTAGATTATCAATAAACATTACAAGACTTTCATATACAAAATATCAAGTTATTTAGTTAAGGACTAAATTTTTTAATTAAAGACTTGTTAGTAAGTTTTTCTTTCAGAATGTTGACTATCCAACATGCAAAGTAATTTTGATTTTAAGATTAAAAATACTTTTCTTTATCTGAAAATTGTCAAATTTCATTTGCATAATCTCTATAAACTTATAAATAACTATGAAACGTTTTTTTAGAAAACTTTATATTTTTTCTGTTATTTTCTCTACCTTAATTCTATATAAGGTTAGTCGATTTGACTATTCAACATGCAAAGTAACTTTGATTTTAAGATTAAAAATACTTTACTTTATCTTGAAATTGTCAAATTTCATTTGTATAATCTCTATAACTTCCTAAATAACTATCAAATGTCTCTTTTAGAAAAACTTTATATTTCATCTGTTATTTTCTCTACCTTAACTCTATACAAGGTTGGTCAATTTTACTGAATTTGTACCCACCACAAAAAAATTAGAAAATAAATCTAAATTACCCTTTTATTCTTTCTATAATGGCTGCATATTATAATAAGAAACCAAAAATGTTTATTCTAAAGAGCTTAAATCTCATAACAATATACATCTGTATATATTTATTAATTTTTTGTTTTATTGACCTTTGAATCTGACTAATAATCCCAGCACACAAACTGTAAATCACTCGCCTCACATGCAGCTCACATTACTGAACTGAATAGCATAAAATTGGCCTTTACAAAGTACAAATGTCTTACTCTTCTTAGTCTTAATACTAGCTCACCAGTATTTTTTAAAATACAATCACATTTTGGTTATCATACATTATATATGTACATAAATTCTTATTATTTACAAATAAATTCTTAAATCTCGGTTATTTTTCTTAAACATAGAAGAGTAAATAACAAATATATTAAAAACAATTATATCTACTACTTATGATGTTACAAAGTTTTTGGTACTTGTGCATTGTACTTGCTAAACCTCATCAAATTTTGCACATGGAGGATGTAAAAAATAATAAATAAGTTTTATATATGCATTTTGAAATTTAAAAAATCATTACCACACAATTCCACTGTAATTTATCAGGCTTCCTAACTAAGCTGCATTTGGGTCTAAAAAATCGCAAACTCTGCAATGATTATAATGGCTTTACTTAATTACTTTAGGAAGATTGACAGGATTAAGTAGTTCAAACTTTCGATTGATTATAAGCATGTAATTGAGAGAAGTGGGCATAGATAAACAGTTATTTTTAAAACAGGAGGAGATGGGTGGATCCACTGTGGCAGGTTTGTTAAATATAATGATATCTCAGCAAATAGAAAATGTAGGAAGTTCTTATTTTATATTCTAGCTTGTCAATATTGGTAATCTGAGTTTCTAATTTGGTAAAAACAGTAGACTTTATATTTTATTATGGCCACAATACAATCTGAACAAATGCAGAAGACGATATGCCATGTGTTACACAAAAAATCAATATTTAGCAATTTTTTAATATTTACTTTTGAGCTAAGAAATTAAATAATGTATAATACTAAAATTGGAATTACAAACTAGAACTTGGTCCCAAATTTATGGACATACATTCATAAAATAGTAGTTTAATAAAATTTTGAATGTAAGTCTACAAAACATAATGAGATACACACTGACCCTGACCAGTGTGAAAAAGGTTAAAATATTTGTGCATATATCTAACATAAAATTATAAGGAGTTTGAAAACTTAAATTATAAACATAAAAAACTTTAATTTCGATAAACCTTTGATGTTACTGTTCAGATGTAACTAAAGTAGCATGTTGAAATTAGACAGTAGATGTAACACTATTTTTTGTGTGAAATAATTGAGTACTTTGTGCATTATTTAATGTCATTAGTATTACAAACATTAAATAAATAACTTATAAATCTATGAATTTCAGTGCTATAGATTTTTGTTTCAATTACAGAAATGGGAAGACTGATCTTGGTCCAAAACCCCAGAAGTCTTGACTCGTATACTTTTATTGCAGGAAGGTATAGAAAGGGGTCTGAAAAACATACGTTTAGTACACTTTTGAAAATGTGAAAATTATGGATGACTCCTAAAACAAATGGTTACAGAACAACACGTGTAAAAAAAAGAAAAAGCTACAATCCATTATAACATTAAATGGTGAACCATAAAATGCTATAGCACTATATAATGATTAATGACATTTATGTAGTTCTAATTTAAATATGTTCTTTCTGTAATAAACTAAGGATAAGTAACTATAAAATAGCACTTCAGTTCAAAAGAAACCATACATTATTTTCATCTTTTTATGTATTATTTTTTAAAATGTTTCAATATCAAACATGATCTATAGAAATAGCAATAATTTAATATAATAAAAAAAAGATTCTCTAGAGATGCAAGTTGTATATTTTTGAAAAAAAAACCATTTAAATGAGCCCCTTTAATGTGCAAACTTCATAACTTCATAAAATCTAAAACAATTAAACTGCACCAACAGTAAGCTATAAGTAGTTATATGCTTCTTAGTGATCAATACATTAAACTAAAATTCTAGAATGTACACATGCCTCACTTTAATGAATGCTCCAATGAAGATAAATTTTTCCAGTGTCTGAAAACAAAAGGCTTACATAGAGCATATCACAGCATTAAGTTTTAAACTTGATACTTAATACCAATATAACAACAAAAAGATAATTTATCCATTGAAGGTATTTTATAAAGCAAGAACACAAACTGGATCTTGCTGTACATCTTGATGTAAGACATGTGCTTTGTTTTGTCTAGTCTTGGTGTATTATATGTCCACAGAAAAATTTTACAGTTATTACAACCAGCAGAACATGGTACTTAAATGTTTTACAAGATATTTTTCATAAATGTATTTTGTTTTTGAACTACAAGTTTATGTTCATTAGAAATTTTTTAACATGTGTGAATTTCATAAGAGCTCGAAATACAGAAATCACAGAGATGCACAAAAACATCACATCTCTATGTAGCTAATGTTTATAAGCCTATAAATATTGAAAACCTTGCTGTTCAATTACTTTAGCTGACTAATTCTACTCTTGAAACCTGAATTTTCAGATTCAGAAAAATAGATAATACAAATACAGTTTATTTCTAAGGGCTTTTTTTCCTATAATAATTTACTCTCTTTGCCAGTTTTGCTTTCAAATAAAATCTGTCAAATTTTTTTTTTTTTTTTTTACTAGGAGTTTTATTTTTTTTTCAATTAGTTTAAATTCAGTAGTTGTTTATGAAACCTTCTCAGCCCATAGTTATAACAGGTATTCACAATTATAATAACTTCCTGAATAATTATTTTCTTTTTTGAATAATTGACAAAAAGACAAAATTTTGTTACTTAACTGTTATTTCTTAAAGCTTCTCCTACATATATGCTACAAAAACTAATGTGCAAGAAATTAAAACAGGGGTTAAAAGGTTGAGTGAAACCCCACAGATTCCTAAAGCTCATGTGTTCTCTGTATGAACATATTGTGGCATATGTGTTAATAGTATAGATTTTGTTGCTAATATGTTTCATATTACAACCTATAAAACAAAAAGAAAAGAAAATATGAATGCTAGATCTCACTAAACTGGTACTTATATTTTAAATGATTTTATCATACCAAGACCAAGTAACTTGACATTCAGACTAACCCAAATCAGAAGCTCACTACCCTGATTATTTTCATTACCTACAAATGTTGCTGTTTATACAATGTTTTTGTGTAATAGCAGCAAAACGTTGTATCTAGTTAAGAAAAGTTTCATAAAATAACTATATATTAACATCAGTTAACCCTTAAATGATATTGAAAAGAATAAATACAGATCAGTTGCAGATACAGACTTCTGTTACATTCAATAATGTGATGTAGCATTTCAAAACATCATTAATAGAGAAATATTTATTAAATTATAGTACATCATAATTAGAGCTGGATGAATAACTCAATTAATAGAGACTATTGAATACCTATAAGCACTGACTATTGCCGTGTAAAATAACTAATTAATTGAAACTATGATTAAATCAATTAATGCCCCAAAAATAATCAACAAATCAAAGTTATTGTTTCCAATTTTTACTGTTTTCAATTATTCCAATTGTCCAAGCAATCATAAGTTGCTATTATAACTTTTCATTATTATTTCTAATTCAAGGTTGTTCAGCTTAATGAATTAGTGTCACAATTTACAAAAATAATCAACATATTTGAAATTAGTGTTTCCAGTTATTACTAATTTTAATTATTCCAACTACCCAAATCTTATGCAAGAAAAATCAGCTGACCAGATGGTTAATCAATTAGTAAATTTCATTAATCATCCAGCTCTACTACTAGTCCCAATAAATATTCCAGGAATTTATTTCAGTGTTTTACTGTGGATAAAAATATGTCAATGAATCAACAAGTTGATTTACAAAGTAAGTACAAAGATTTATTTAAAATTAAATTTCTCTAAAAATCATATGTGAGCATGAATGATGTAACGTTCAATTTCCCTTGGACCTCATTCACCTTGGTCAACAGTTCAGTCCTCAAAAATCTCAAAACAAACACTTAATAATAAAACAGGGTTTCTACACCCATGGTAAATGTATAGATAAGCCTAATGTGAAACACTGATTTTACTACATTAAACTTGTTTTCATTTACAATTCTTTAATACTTTTCATCTATCCATCTCACTATGATAATTTTTATAGATTTATTAATCAATCTATCTATATAATGACACTCATGTGTATAAAGCTCATACTTTACAATTCATTTTCTTTCTTCATTTTTTAATCCAGAAAACAATCAGTTTCTTACCGAAGTTGCTTTTATAATTGTCATAATGTCACCCTTTTGAAATGACAAATCTATTTCAGATGTTGCATCATAGTTGTATCTTGCCACTACTTCAGTATCTGGTGCTATCCCCTACAGAGAAAAATATACACATTTAAGGATGTTCTTTTCTAACTCTAAAACTAATAAACAATAAATTATATTTCAAATTTCCTATTTTCAATTGCACTTTAAATAACAGTACTTACTGATTACAGAAAACAATTTATTTAGTCTTAAAAAATGTAATCTAAATGTGTGATATTGTACTAAATATAAAAACATTCATTCTTAATCTAAATAATAAAAAATATGAATTCTTAGTTTCATATCCAACCTTACATACACACATTGTACATAAACATGTCAGTTTAGTTGACTCAACATAAAAGAAACACACTTGGCACACATATTTTTCAACATGTACACAGTTTGCATAGACATTAAGGCTACTAGGCTTCTATGTTAGGCTATATTGTAAGAGCTGATAGATTGTATGCACTACCATAAGCCACAATTGCATACGAGCTGACCATTTTGCAAGACCAGAATTGAATTTAATAAAGTTTTAAAAATCCTTTAAAACACATTTTCAATGCTACATCTAATGTAATGTAATGCTTTCACTTATATCATAAAGTACATGAACACAAAGAAAAAATGCCTTCATTTTAAAATTAAAGGTGAATTGAAGCATGGCCACTCAACTATGTGAGCAGAGAGTGATATTTATTTTGTAGTTGCGAAAGACACTTGTAAATTAAAAACATTAGAAACAACAGAGTAATATATGCATTTCTGTAATGATACTGACAATGTCTAGGTAAGTATTTAATGTATGAAAAACTATTTTACAGGATATGTTAGTTCACCAACGTTTGACGGACAGATTCTTGATCTTCCAACTATACTCAATATTATGCAAAAAACTTTTGATTATTGCTTGGCTTCTTCTGATATTTGTTTCAATCAAAATATACAGCTTGAAAACCTCCTGCTTTAACCAACAAGTGGGATTTCATGTTACAGCATTGAATCTTGAGAGCTGGTGAAGCAATATAACCAATAATCCACAAATTTGTTATAAACATCACACTATAAACTACTAAATTTTTTCTACACTTCCTATATAATGTCTATTATGAGTTTCAAATTTTATATGTATAATAGACTTATTGTAAGAATAAAAAAAATAATAATCTCCAGTCTAGCGTGATTTTTATCACAAATAATAATTTGATTTTAGTTTTAGTAATAAATAAAATAAGATCTCAACCCCCCCCCCCAATAACATTTACTTTATAATAGGTTCAATGACATTTACAAATGTTTTCAAAATAACTGGAAAAGAAACAAGCTTTTTCAACTGCTTATTAGCCATTCTTTCCAGCATTTACCTGACATCTCAATAATAGAAATGTATACCATTCAGTAAGAAAAATATTCTATCAAGAAAATAAGAAAAATTATTTGTGTTAACATCACCTAAGAATTTTTTTTGTTTCATATTATAATTTTCCAGTAAAGTCATAATGATTAAAAGAGTATTATTTTATATTGTTTAAACAAGTATACAAGTTTATGATTTTTATTCCAAAAGCTGGTGAAATACTGGAAAATCAGCACATCTAAAAATTTTTAAAAACAAACAAACTGTAGGCTTTTTTCCACACACACACCTTTTAATTTGTCCATTGTGGCTCAAATCAGAGATGTGTAAAAAAATAGCATTTCATACCTATCTTTTGTCTCCCACAAGCTGCTGTGAAATAAAAAATTCTTTTTCAATATCAGAGCTGGATGATGAGAGACAAAAGATTCTATGAAACACTATTTATATATGCAGTAAAATACTTTAAAAGGGCAGCATGGTTTAGTGGTTTCACACTTTGGACTTATTGTCAGTTGGTTGCAAATTAAAGACTAGCCTGCTTTATGCTGTTTTGTCCCTGAGCAAAATACTTTACCCTATTTGTTCCAGTCTACCCAGCTATATATTGGGAACCTAGCTGTTATGTGCAATGAACTGGCACCTCGTCCAAGGGGAATGGGTCACCATTCTCATCTGCTTGTGCCATTGGAACCATTGAAAGCAACAGCATCAGATGCCTTGTAAGGCACAACAGGGATTAAACTTTTAGCTAATTGACAATACTTTAAAAATTAAAGTTTATACACCAAAATCTAGCAAAATATTAGAAAAATCAAAGGGCTACAAATTGTTATAAAAATAAGTTCACTGTAAATTTTTTTTTTATGTAGTTAACTTGTTTTTATAACAAGTATGAACATTACAGAGTAGCTTGTGGTAAGAGAACTAGCCTGAGAGTATATATGATGTAATTCTCAGTTAATAGAAGCATATAGCCAGATATTGGTTGAAGGTATGCTGAGCCACACTAGTGACTTATAAATAGACATACCTGGAATATCAGATGTATTAAATTTCCAAACTCAACATTCCAAGTTTAAATAAGATTATCTTTATACTGCTACATTTACAGGCCTTTTGAAACTTCTATCAATTAAAAAAAATGTTGCTCAAATAAGTTAGTATTCATTCAGACCTGAATATCTTTATTCTCTTGGAAGCACTGGAAAGTTTTCCTGAGATGTATCCTAACTCTTTTATAGTCTTATAATTTGAAGTATTATTATAGTGAAATTTTAGCTTTACATTGTATACCAAACAAAAGCGAACAGAAATAGCTGCATGTGATAACATACAGCCACAAAAAAGGCTTATTCATATATTTCACAGTGCAGGTTGGCCAACTACGTGGCACCATCTTTATGTGTGTAACTTGATCATTTTCAATAGTTTATTCTAGACTAAAACAATTGGATAATAAAAAAATATTAATGAGAGTAATTAGATATTTTAGTATAAGCTGAATACATGCAAGTTTTACATAACTTTTTACAAAAAAAACCATCTACTCTAATGATAAAAGTAATATTTATTTACTAACATGTTATGGCAACCAAATGATACATAAATTATGAAAAGGAAAAGGCATTCCTGTGGATGAATTAGGTGGTAAAAGTAATCAATTTGAACTTTCTGAAAGTTCTCTTAACAAAGCTGAGACTTATACAAGACAATAGCAAAATTGAGATTTTAGAACCAAGTTCAATAATGATGTCCTGGTTTTTGAGTACAAATATACATTTAGTGATTTACTCAAAATGACCAGCAATATGGTTTATCTGTAATATATCTAAAAAATATTTTTTTCAAAGCAGTTTTATCATTCTATCTTTGCTTTTACAGATTTCTTTAGAACATTTTAGCTTAAATGTGAACCATTTTTAATTAAGTGTTATGTTTGAATATATTTTTCAGAAAACTAGTCTTACTTTATATGTGTATACAAATATATATATATATATACAACATACATTTTAAGTTTTTCTATCTTAACATTAGGTTTTTGCAAAGAAATCAATCCCAGTTTGCTATTAAAATTTAGCAATATTAACTGTTTAAGCTCACAAAAGTAATTATTGTAACTGTTAAACCTAAGCAGGTTAACGTGTAACCTAGTTATGTTTCCAACTAATATATTAATTAATATTTTTTAATTAGAAACAGACACAAAAGTTTAATTTCAAAATTGTAGTAAAATATGAAGAAACTAACCCCTCGACCAGTCCTCTCCTGTGTCATTTTACTCTCTGTCCACACCATGCCACTCCAAAATAATAATAAAAAAATATCTGTTGCTTTCAGAAAATACACAATGACATGCTTTAATACCTGTAAAAGAAAATTATTCTGACACATCTTATGTGGAAGTAATATAAATTTCTTGAAACAAGTAATGAATAAAATTAAAGTCATCACAAGTAAGACAACATATTTAAACTACAATTTCCGCACCTAAATCTATACCTAGCACTCCAGTCAGATAACTTAATCGATATAATCTATTACATATGAGCAGGAATTACAACAATGTGTCATGTAAACTAACTAATTAATCAAAATTACAATTAAAACAATTAATCAAAATTAATATTTTCAAATGTTATTATTCTCAAATGTTCAAACAATTAACTAAAATTCTGGTTATACTGATTATCAAGACAATAATCAATTAGTCAAATTTAGTGTTTCACATTATTACTGTTTTCAGTTATTCCAACAATTGATTAATTGAAAATACAAGTAATTTAATTGTCATAAAAGTAATCAACTAATCAAAATTAAGGTTTACGATTACAAGTGTCTTTGATTATTCCGACTACCCAAGTAATCAAAATACTGCTACTAAGTTCAATCCCCATCTTTGTTATTGTATAGCTACTAAGGCTATCTGCCACTGTCACTACTTTTTAACTGCTGACCAGAGGGAAGGCAACTGGCTTGCAGCACCACCTGCCAAATTATTTTTTAATCTCTTGAAATACTGACTAGAATGAAAGCATTTAGCTGAAAGTATTAACTATAGACTCATTTTTCTTTTTGGATTTGTAACAGGGAGGGAGCCACCAACTTTTTGTTTACTGTTGACTAGCTTGTGACATACTGTTACTTTAATTAGTGTAAATGTGCAACACCAATAGCTGCTGATTTACAATATACTGATACTTCACTGCTAACTTAAGAAAGAAAGTTTTTCATTAGCACTGCTTGTACAGATAGTACCATGTAGGTGGCAATCTCCCAGTGCTTGATTGGTTTTGCCACTCAGTATGTGAATGTCACTTGTCCAGTGTTCAAGCATTTTCCAGTTTAACTTGTCTTCAATATGTTAATAAACAATTCCCAAGATTGCTCAACTTGTTTTTATCAAGTAGTTGAAACAATTGTCAACAATCTAATTGCCAAGTTACAAAAGATAATATGCACATATAAAGTTCAAAAATGCATTTCTTTCTCATAATAAAAACAAAAATATTTCTATTCATCAAAGTCTGTAATCAATATTTTTCTGAGCAAATTGCCAATTTACAGTGTTTTCAGGCTAAGCCCACACCTCAGAATATTAATCCCAAGCACTTTTGTGTTTTCATTTTCATTCTACTAGCTTCTGTTGTCAGTTATAACATCTAAATACATCATTGTTGAAATTAATATAAATCTCAAATATGTTAAAAAAAATTAAAGATATATGTGCTAAAAGAATATTTATAAAAAGTAAATGGTAAGAGATTCATCATCACTTCTTTTAATTCACAAATATAGTTATAATTACATAGTAGTGCATGAAAGTTGAAATGAAATTCAATTACCTAAATTGTAAGTACAAGTTCAGTAGCTGTTTGCTGATTGTTTAATCTAAGCTTCATTTGAAGGAATAAAAGTGTCTCCTTCATGAGCATAGTCAGCTAAAGGATTGTCCTAGTGAGTACAAACCACTTACTTACAATCGATATGTTAATGACCTATTTGTAATGTTCAAAAATAAAGATCAATTAGTGAAATTTATAAAATATTTTAATTCTAGACACAATAAAATTAAGTTTACCTGTGAAAGCCAACAATGCTCTGCTCTATCCTTTCTTATGACATATGTTTTCAATGAAGAAAAATATTTTGATGTCAGGTGTTGTCAGAAACCCACCTACACTGGATTATACACCCACTTTAAGAGTTTTGTTCCACTTCATTTCAAGGAAAACCTTGTGAAATTACTTAATTACATCATGTCAACTTTTATAGTGAGAGTTACTCAAACTAAAATCCATTTTAAAACTTAACTCCTTCCTAAATAACTTTATTGATTCTATAAAACCATTCAACAACTACATCTATCCAAGTCACTAAATTATGATGTCCTAAAGATATAGGTAATGATCTCTCTACCATATGCAGGTTCACACTTGCAAGTCTTCAAGAGGAAACTAACGCCATAATCAACAGAGTACATCCAAAAGTTTACCTTCAACATGTATTGAGAATTCAGAATTTTTTTAGGTTTAAAGACCATATCCAGTTTACTCAACAGTTGCATCTTATTCATGAATTCTGCCACTCAATGTGTGAGAGTGCTTACATCAGATTGACTGTTATATCATTTAAAAGAATACTCTGATCCTAGGATTAAGGACATTTCAAGCATTGTTGGGTATGTACTAGGTGAACGTGATGTCATCCCAACTCCCAGTATATCCAAAGTAATCAGTAAAGCCAAAAACAAGACTATGCTATTGGTGAAGGAGATGCTTCTAATCCTTCAAATGAAGCCTAGATTAAACAATCAGTAAAACAGCTACTGAAATTTAGTGTATAGTTACTAGATATTTGGAAAAAAATTCCAGCATTTGTCGTTGAATCATACATACAACTATATATATAATGATGAACTAGCACTGCATACTGACTTTATATGTACTAAATTCTAATACATGTAACAATATATGTATATAAAAATCAATGAATATCTAGTATCAGTGCATTCTTTTACTTTCAGTAATATTAACCTTATTTCATGTTTTACACCTTATAATAGTACATCTATTACTTAAAGTTAAAAAAATATATATATGCCTTTTCCACACAAAACATTGTGATACATTTATCTTACTGGCACAGAAAATATGCTTGTAGTTACTTTTATTTAGTACAAAAACAACCTCTGCAAAAACATTATTCTATTTTTATCAAACATTTGGTTTGATACTTCCCAATGTTTCAATTTACTATAAGACATATTTTTAACATACTCTTTCAAACTAATTCTCTAAAAGAAAATGTTAGAGAGTGGACAGTTAAAACTAGTCAACATTCACTGATAAGTTAGTTTTTATATACTAAGGATATCTCAATTGTTTAGTAGATACAGAATAACTGCAGCTACAAAATACAAACAACATAAATGTAACTAATTAAGCCCGAGAGCAGATTCTACTGATTTTTCTCTTCCTTTGCCAAATATCTGAAGCAACAAGGTAAAAAAAAAAAAAGTTCCTTCCTGTTCTAGCTTTCATTAGATGGGAGGGCAGAGTAAAATTCAAACATCATAATTCATAAGTTTATTAAATAATTAAAAACCACTCTTAAAACAAGATACTGGTTCATTTTGATCTTTGATAACAATTTCATTTTTGTTTATTAGATTACGTTGTACAGTTCTCTTATTCAAGTCATTTTCAGTAGCATCATGGGCAATATACTTCATACTTTACTCGTCTCCCTGGAGCACATTTAAAATTTTTGATTTTATACGTTGATGAAATAGATACCTATATAACAAATCCTTGCATTAAAATGGTCAGACAAGTTACTCTAACCTAAATCCTTATCCACTAGAAAAATTTATGAAAAAATACAGCCTTGTTTTCTCTAAGTCAGTGAAGGATTTTAAAGCATTTGATACAATGGTTTCTGAACATGACTACTACTCTAATACTTCCAGTTTCTTAAATCAGGCTGTATTTTTAGTAAACATTTACTTTCTAGTGAAAAAAATTAATTATCCACTCAAAATGAACTGCTGACATGAAGTTATTTGATGAAAATAAAGGGCCCAAGATGCTATCTAATCTTATTTATGTGGAAAATTTTAACTACCTCCATTAACCCAAAAACTGGCCAATTGTTATGGGATTTAATCAACATACACTTTACTTTTACCTTATATTTAACATCCATGACAAAAACATTTCTCAGTAGCAAATTTGTTTGCTACATCTTCAGCAATATGATATGGCATCAAATAAATTTTCAAGTCATTTTCATCACAAGTCAATGCACAAAGAACTTTGAAAGCTCATGGGTTGTTTAGTAGCACAAAAATTAATTACATCTATCTATTACAGTTTCAATAAATTTTATATGAATATTTCACTTAATGGAGAATGTTTTAAGTTAGTAGACTTAGAATTTTTTGTTGAACACTGACATTCAGAAATGTTCTAAGTATGTGAGTATTCTTTGCCATAGGTGTCTTGAATAAAGTGCTGTATTAATATCAAAATGGAAACGTGTCCACATTCTCAAGGTAAAATTATTTCCAACAATGTGTTAGGTTATCAATTATCAACTAAACTGAAAAGTGCTACACAAAACAGACCACAAAATGGAAGAGGAATTGCAAAGGAGCCCTGAGTATATATGTATATATATCATTAGGCCTACTGTAACCCTAAACTGATTTAAAATGTGGGCAGGTAGGTAGGTAATTTTTTTTTAATTGCTTGGCAAAACAAATTTCAAAAATACTAGTTCCATGATCACCTAAAACATAAGGTATTAAGCCATGAATACAATAACTATTAACATTTATTCTATAAAGAGATTTACCAAAATTTCAAACCAAAAAAGAACTCATTTTTAAAAAGTTAACATTAACACTGGAAAATAATAAAATTTTGGGCAGTAGACCACCATATCCTGTTTAACTGAGTTCACACTTGCAGGCTGATCTCAACCTTGATCGACAAAGTTGAATTGACTGTTGCTAACAATTTTAAGGTTTGTTCTTCCATTTCATCTAATTTACCAACTAAATCTACAAGTACGTCCCTCCGCATGGATAAGTTTCCAGTTGGAATTAATTTGTTTTTGATCCTAACCCTCAAAACCATTTTTTGGAGAAAAATACGTTGAACAGGCTTGTGTTCGCCATATTGTTGATGTATGCTAATCTAGAGTTAATTCTCCCCTGCTAAGTCATCTATTTATTAGTTTAGCATGAAAGGTCCTGGGGACAAGATAAGCCATGTTGTCAAACTTCAATTCATTGAGCATCCGATTGGTAATCAGATGATGTCCTCCCACATCCTTGTGTAATACAAGGATTTCCGAGAAAAAATATTCTAGCCATAATACAGCAATAAAAATTTTAAAGTCAGCAAATTTTGCTAGATTGCTTGGCAGAAATTTGTGAAAATAAACATTTCCCAGGTCATAATGTCAAAAAAAATCTCTCAATCAACCCCAATTGGGTTACAGCAAACAGAAATATTTTCAAGCCTGGCCTTAATGAATTGGTATAATGAGTTAAAATGTGATATGGGATGTGTGTTTTGGAATTTTTTAAAAAATATTTTTTTAATTCAAGATATGTATGTTCCTAAAAAGAGGAAAAAGACAAAGGGAAAGAACAAACCTAACTGGCCTACTAAAAGACATAAGAGAGAAAATATGGGATAAACGTCAAAAGTTTGAATTGACAAACAGTTTGGAAGATTTACAGAATTAAGGTAAAGCTATGGATGTGGTTAAAGAAAACATTAGAAAATCAAAAAGTGCTTATGAAAAATACCTGACTGACAATGTCAAAAATAAGAGCAAGGATGTTTTCAAATACAATATTTTTTGGCATATAAGTCAATGTGGAGCATAAGTGAAATGGGCTAAATTTCTCATTTTTTTCAACCTTCATTCATATATAAATCAAAGTGGAGTATAAAATGAGGATAGATCAAGTATGGTACCACTGTGCTCTATACTGTATGCCTGCGGAAGAAATATAGTAAAAAATGTGCAGAAATTTGAAGATAGCAAAAGTTAACCAAAAAACAGAAAATACAAAAAAAAATATATAATGAGTTAAAATTATTTTATTTATTTTATTACATACATGAAACAACAAATGAAAGACATGTGATCACCATAGATAGTGAGAAATTTTGATGACTAATCCTTAGATAAGTCAATGTGGTATAAAAGTCAAGGCTTAGCAAACCATGAAAAAAAGTCTTGTCTTATATGCCGAAAAATATGGTATGTTAAGGGTAAGCAAATGTTAAAATGGAGATTAGGCCCTTAAATTATGCTAAAAGCAAGGTTTTTGATCAAGACTGAAATGGCTGAGTTTTTAAATGTTCTCTTCTGATTTGATATTAGCAATATTTCTGACCCTGGTTATTCTATGTGAAATACTGAATTTGACCTGAATCATGTATAAATGTAGATATTAATCACTTGGTGGTAAGTAAAATGATTGTGAGATTAAAAATGGATAAAGCAACAAAGGCCAGACAAGGTTTCCCCTAGAAATTTAATAGAGGTCAAAGACACGATATTTGAGCCTCTATTTTTGATTCTCATAGGTCTTTAAGACAGTGATCATATGTCTGAGGACTGAAAAGCTTTTAATGCTATTCTTGTTTGCCCTGGAATTTATAAGCCAGTTAGTTTTACTTCTGTACTAAGAAAATGTCTAAAGTTTCGAGGGAGAGGCTTTACAAAATCATTTAGTGAAATATTATACCATAAATGAAAGCCAACATTGATTTTCCCAAGGATAATCTTGTCTTGCTAATAATTTATAAATCTTTTTATTTTTTTTTATGATGTTACTTATTATCAGAATAATGGAAAAGATGGGAACTTGGTCAACTTACAAGTTTCATAAACCTTTTAATACAGTATCACATAAAAAAAAAATTCTCTAAGTATATAACATCAGTACAGGTAGTGGAAAGACTAGTTAATTAAATTTTTGGGTGGTTGGATGAAAGAAATCAAAGGGGCTACTGATGGATTCTAGTCAATTTGGATCCTTGTTACAAGTAACTTACAAGTCATTAACGATATTGATAGAAGTATAATTAGTAGAATTTAGCCATTTCCAGCAGTACTGAGAATTTTGAGGTATTACAGAATGAAATAAAACAATTGTTATGCTTATGTCCCACATTTAATACAGATGAGAACCCAGTTGATAGCATGACAGAAGAAAAAATCTTAGCAGATTAGTGAACAAGTCACTCAAGCCATCAAACCACTGTCCTGTTACTAATACAATTTTAGGGTTGATTTGGAGCCATACTGACTAAAAGTCATAAGAGGTAATTACCTCTTTATACAAATCACTAGTTAAGCCTCATTAGAAAACTGTGTAGTTTTGGTAGCTATTCAGAGAATGATAGTGACTTACTGAAAAGGGTTCAATGGGAGGCTACTGGAATGATTCAAAGGATCAAAGGGTTATTTTATAGGGATAGGTACAGATCTCTAGTTAGTTCTCATTTATACTATTCTGTTTAGTTCTTGGGATCCTTACTTTAAGAAATATACTGAGTTGTTAGAAGGGATTCAAAGGAGGGTGACTAAATGATTATGGGAATGGAGGGCTCTCACATAAGGACGGGTTAAGATCCTAGGATTTATTTTCTCGTGAGAAAAAGTTGGGTTACAAAGAATCTAAAAGAAGTGCTCAAAATTAAAAAGAAAATATAGAGGATTGGTGCATTATTGTTTTTTTGTGTTTCATGGTAAAAGGGTAGGACTAGAGCACATAATTTAATACTTATCACAGTACAAGTCATCTGCGAATTAGGCAATTTTGTTTTTCAAATAGTGATCATTTTTCGGAATAGACTGCCCTCAGATACTGCAAATGCAACAGGATTGGAAGAGTTCAAGTGAGAGGGCTTCATAAATACTTGGGCAATCAGGGCTGAATATATATAATCCGTATTGATGAAATGAATGTGGCAACCATAATGGGCCAAGGAGCCACTTGTCCCTCAAATGTTATATTTAAATCTCTTAACTAATTTTCTATTGAGAACAGAATAGTTAAGGGCAATCTTACTTAAGATTACATCTGTAGAATGGATTGGATAAAAGCCTCTTTGCTATATTCTGAAGATAACAGGATGAGATGTTACAGTTTAAGATTTGAAAAAGATGGGCTATACTTCAGTTAAGACAGTTTTATTTTTCTAACAGAGTAAATGACTTACAGAATGAGTTGCCATCAGCAGCAGTGAAGGCCAGAGCTTTACAGAAATTTAAGAGGAAAAATTAACATTTCCTGAACAATAAAGAGTATATTTAAATCTACTTTTCTCATGAGTGAGAGTGCATATGGTTTCTTGGTGTATGTATGTTATATATATTAAAGCAGATTTAATGGATAAGTAAAAACCTTGGTACACAAGTATATGACTTTAGTAGAGAAGCATGTAAATCTAGTAAGTCTTGTACAGCATCTCTTTTCATCAAATGTTAGTTGCTATCTCTCCCAATGTTCTGATTTAATATTGCATATTTTTAACAATGCACTAAAAATTGAACATTTAAAGAGTGGAAAGTTAAAACTAATCAATATTCACCAATAAGTTAAAGTTCTCACATATGAAGTTAAGTACATCTCGGTTGTTTATTAGATGTAGAATAACTGCAGTTACAACATAAAAAAAGGCATATACATGTACCTGATTAAGCCTATGAACTAAGTATTGGGTACAGTTTGAGCAGTATATCATCTAGTTCTTAAGTCACTACAAACATCCACTATACATGTATATGTTAATGAAAACACACTGTTGCCAGTAACCAAACAAAGAACCATCATCCCTTAAGAAATTATTAAGAATATGTTTGAAAGCCAGAAAAAGCTATTATCTATATCCAAAAATGCTTCTTAATTTTCTCAACCAATTAAAGTTTCTTTGTTTTTAGATAATAACACCTTCCCAGGATTATGAGAATAACATTTTCAACTTTCAGAGGCATGCCTAATTTAAGGAATACAACAAATCACTCAACCCTTAATTTATATGTAAGCAGACGCTAACAATATATACTAGGTTTGAGAACTTTAATGGACTGCAACTGCCTGTTGAAAGAAAAGGAGACAATATTTCGACTTCTATGCTGAGGCCTCAATGTAGAAGCCAAAACTTCATCTCCTTTTTTTTCAATAGGAAATTGCTGTCCATTAAAGTTCTTAAACCTAATATGTTTTCCCTACCTAAAGTTCTACTAAAAGAACTATATATATACTGTTTCTTAATTATAATAAAGAATGAACTTATAGCCTACATCCAGGAAAAGAAAATATTTTTATATTCAAAGTAAAAATAATGTTACCTGTAACCATTAAACCCTTGAAGTTTAATTCCTGCCAAAACATACTTAGCCATACAAAACGAGTACAACTAAAATCAATGGCAGAACTAGAAGTTAAGACTATAGACTAAGAAAACAATGATTGTACTAAAAAAAAAATATTAATATTGTAAATGTCATTATAAGAGCAGAGAAGCACAATTATGCCATAGAAACAGTTTGCTCTATTATGTTTATTTGAAAGTAAAGAAGCATTAATTAAATTGTTGATTGATTTTATTCAGAAATACACTGAGTTGGGGAGTAACAAAGTAGGGTTATTTTGTTACTATACTTAAGTAACTTTTCTGAGATTTATTGTTACTTAAGTACTCTAAAAAATATTTTCCTTTTTACTTTTACTTAAGTAAAATCAAGAAGGAATTATCTACTTTTAATCCACTACATTTCTTTTATAAGACTGTCATTACATTTGAAAAAATTGGAAAAAATCACACTGGTTGCCATGGTGACAGTTTTTGTTTACATCAATCAGAGCTCACCTACTCTTTCAAATAAGACAATCACAAGCAGTAAAAAAAAACAGCCATTTTACATCCAGTGTTGACTATGATAACTTCGTCTCACTGTGACCATCATGTCTGACATAAATAATCATCCATGGCCTTACTTGAAAGACTTATTTTCATTGAAAACAATAGTGGAAAATTCAGTGCAGTTGCAGCTTGCGAGCATTTGTTTAGTTCTGCAGGGCTGTTGTTCACACTGAGACAAACAAATCTGTCTAGTAGTAACTTTAAATAATCAGCTGCTGTTGAAGCTAAATGATAAGTGGAGTGTGTGAAGAGGTTTATCATAGACAGTAATACTGATTGTTTTAATAAAAATAAAATAAAGTTTGTTGAGTTTATACTTGGTAGTGCCTTTTACGTGTGAACTTAAGTTGAATGTATGCTATTTTTAATAATGATATCATTAGTTATTTTTTGTCAATACTTTTTACTCCATTACTACTTAAATACTCTATATATATTTGGTACTTTATACTTTTACTTAAGTAGTCATCAACAACAGGTACTTTTACTTTTTACTTGAGTGAATATTTTATAAAGTAACAGTACTTTTACCCAAGTAAATGTTTTCAGTACTTTACCTATCACTGCCTAAGTTTAACAAGAAGCTGACAAAAGAACTATGTCCAGGAACTAAATTCACATACTTTTCACACTTATGCAACTCAATATAAAGCACTACAGCATAATATTCCATCGTATTAAGTATCACAGAAGTAGATACCAAAATATATTAAAAAATATATATATAATAATAATGCGTGTCACACTAATTAATACCATGATATTAATTATCATAGCAGAATTACTTAACTGTTTTAAATATATTTTACTGAAATACCTAATATCATGGTATATAAAATTATATGTATGATTTATGTAATTGAGGCTCAATTAAAACAAAAATGCTGAAAAATTATAATAAAACAAGACTACAAAAATCTACCTGTGATCACAAGGTTCAAGCCTCACTGTCGCTTTCCCATCAAAACATAGAGTACAGGAGTCTTCTTTGACACTACTTTGTCTCAACCGTTCTAAACGTATATGCCTATAAAAGATTTGTATTACAAAAAAAAGATTACATACCATATGAGAAATAAGACTTTGTAAAAATAAATGAATATCCAATAGGAGAAGATATCACTAATTTCATCTTTTAAACTTTACCTTCTCAAAAGAGGAACAGGCCACTTAGAATTTTAAATTCTCATCAAAAGACAGTTGTACTCATCAATATTTCTCACGGAAAGAGAATTTCAAGATAGGAAAATAAAAAACAACAACTATATCTCAATTAAACCTTAACAAGTAGCTAAAAAGTTAAACTATTCTGAACTGGGAAGTGGAGTGTCACTGGTAACCCATAATTTTTTTCCTTATCCCATTTTATATGTCCAGTCAATTTGAACATTATTGATTTTCATAAACATATTTCTTTTGAAACTATTTTGCCAAATGCAGTAGCCACCACTACCTGCTATAAATCATAAATAATGTGATTTTTTGAAATGGCGTAAGGTCAGACTAGGTAAAAATATTTTTGGTCAAAATCATTTTATGCATGATATACTTTGTTTCGATATGAGAAATCAGAGGCATTGCTAAGTACTTTAAAGAATTGGAGCATTTCGGGGGACTGTCAAATAAAATTGGAGTATGGGCCCCATGCCTAGTGATGCCTCTGTGAAAAACTTAACAATAATATTCAATAAATAAGGATTTGAATTACCCGAATATTTTCTCCTTACTCCCTTATTCTCTAAACCTAATAAAGCTTGCATGATGTCTTTTCATAGAAGAAACTTGCCATAATTTTGATATAAATATAATGTCACACAAAAACATTTTCTAAATAAAGTACAAAAAATTCCCAGATCTATAGTTTGTTTCTATGTCTACTAAACTTTCCACTACATTCCACTGTCCTTCTCTGCACCAGCTAGGTCATTCTACTTTCCAAATTCTCACAATTCTTTATTCACTGCACATTAATGTAAATAGTATATAATCTGCTCTATTGAATGGTATTTACACTTTGTCTGTAGCTATTATGAAAGGTGAGTTTAATTAGCATTAAATCAACTGTTGTGAGGTCATAAAAGGATGAGAACAGAGGCTATGTTAATGAAATTCAGAGAAAAATGAATATAATGTGAGAAACACAACCCTGAGAATTATATTTTCAAGGGATAATAGTTCTCTAGCAAATAAAAATCTTTACTTTGGGATAAACACAAAAGTTTTATAAAAACAATAAGTGCATTGTTTACATGTGAGACTCCTTGAAGAAGTGCATGGTTTAGAAATCCTATATTTTTTCAATATATTGGTTATCCAAAAAATAATTCATGTAGCTTTCACATATACATTTTACTTTTTCAAAAAATGTATCAGACTCTAAAACACAGTGTCCAAAAACTAATATAATTAGTCTTGTTTACTAACTAACCTGTAAATGGATGAAAAAAGTCCATTACTATTCAACTCAACGTATTTAGTCTAAACAAATTAAGCTTTCCACTTGAACTGTCAACTTTGAATGCTAAAACAAAACAGACAATCATCAATGTCTGTAAATTAGAATATATTCTTTCTATTGAATATAAACATGTCCAATAGGAATGTCAGAAAGTATTACACACATTGCTTTAAAGACGAAAGAAAGTGTGTCATGGGTGTTGAAAAAAATGCATATTTGGAAGTTACCCGAATTATTTTTGGACAGCCAATAGAGTGAGGAAAACAGGCTTACTAAATCATGTGTCCAAGTATCAAAGGCCTGACAGCTAAAGCAAGTACTAAATTTCTTGGTTTTTATTTACTATTTTATACCTTTTAACAAAGGTAACAAACACAAAAAATGAATTAAAAACTTATTAGGCTGGAGAAAAAAACATAAAAAACATGGGCTGCCATTACACAATATAGATACAACCTGAGAGTTTGTTTACCTTAAATGTTTGACAGGTGATTTAGTTTTTTTAAGCTAGTCAGACTCATTTTAAAAATCAATAACACAACAGAATGAAATGAAACTGTTAAGAGCCCAAGGTTATTTATGATAAATAATTGTAATAATCTGTTACAATCTGCAGTCATTCTAGGAAAAGAAAAAAGAAAGTATTTTTGATTTTATTTCATATTTTTAAACTTTTCATTCATTTTACTTTAATGACTCCACTACAGTTAGTATTAAAGTAAACAAAATAAGACATAGAGTTTAAAGTCTGACAAAAAAACTTTTGATATTCATTTAAGATGTTCTAGAGGTTAGGAAGATAAAAAATATAAGTTGAAAAGTGTTTTTATTTTAAATAAGAATATCACCTTTCATTCAAACTGGCTTAGTAAAAGCTTTGTAAATTCATAAACAAAAATATTTTATTATAAAATCTGGTTATTTGTCTTCAACATACTTGTAACATTTACTAAAAGCTAGCCAAATTTCCTGAAGATACATTAAGTTATAGGATGTATAGTTTCATGGTTAAAAGATCAGTCAAACTGACCAAACTCATCTTCATAGGATTAAACTTAGAAGAATATTTTGTGGTATCACAAAGATCTCAACCCAGCTCGCTAGATCCAAAACCACAGCTCTATCAGAGGGCCAGTCAGCACTCTCAGTACAATGACTATTCCTCTATTTCAAACTTTTATATTTATACATATTTAATAATTTCTATATTAAAAATATTTCATAACACTTAATCAGTGGTAACTTTGATAGGATGCTTTATTTAACACTCATTTCTCAGTTATTATTTAATATCTATATTTTTAAACTTTTCTTATTTTGACAGAGTAACTTTAACCCCCATATTCAGAATTTACAATGAAAGCTTTTTAAGAAGTTTTGTTTGAATGCTTTTGTCCTTATATTTTAACACTATAACTAAATCTTCTTTAGTACTTGCTTTAACAGTATTTTAACTAAAATTTCTTTAGTACTTACTTTGGTAGAATGACTTTATCCTCATCTGCAAGTTTGGCATAGTTATTAAACACTTGAAAGCTAACCCCTAGGGGTGGGTACCTAAATGGTTTGTGACCAAAATTGAATTCACACTGCTGAAATGACATGAAACTGGCTGCAGCAAAGAAACCAGACCTGAAAAATATTGTTTACCAATATCTTAGAAATGCCACATTTAAATTACTAATTAACTAACAGTTTTTTCAGAAAAATTCATGTTACCTTTACAGAGAATTCATATAATAATAAATTATACATGAATACAAGTCTTTAACAAGTGTTTTATATAATTAATAAAGTTTCTAATTATCAAGGATGATTCAGCCTTGAAAAATTATTTAAAACTTCAATACACAAAAGCTAATTTAATTCTGGAAGTTGGATATACTGATGATAAATTCATTGATAATTAACAATTTTAAAAACTAAAAATGGGTTTGTCATAATTATTTTACCTGGCACTTTGAAAGACATCCATGCATGGAGAAAGAGGGTTACCATTCAAATAGAAAATTATTTGGAAGGATTCCAGATCTAATAGTGTACCCAAAATATCACCTATAAAAAAAAAGATCTTATTAATAAAAATTTGACATCTTTAGTTAATTAACCCTTTCATGACAGACTCGGGGTAAAATACATAAGTTCATATACACATTTGCACACGTTAAGCATTTATACTATAACTTTTAATGCAGTATGTGTATCTTCACAAAATTTGGTAGACTTTTGGTAAACATTACAAGACCATGACATGCACAGATAGACTCACCCATTACAAAAGGGTTAAACATATTTGTCTCAATTTTTTTCACTGAATACAGTTTCATCCAAGCTATCTTTGACACAGTGATGATAGATAAACAAAAGTTTATAATGCAATTATAAAGCATTTTTGTAAACTAGATCATAACTTGATAAAATTGTGAACTTGAAAAATATTAACAATTAATGATAACAATGTAACGGATTTCTTTAGAAGCCTAAGGGCTATATTTTAAATATTGGTTTCAATGACAGTTCTTTCAATATTTTAATTAACTTTTCAAAAGCACCATACTATGGAATAAATGTTAGGCAATTATAGCCTCATTAGACTTTTAATAAAGTTTTCAAAGCAATTACACTACACTTAATGATACTCGTACAATTTCTGAAGTTACAAAATGTCAGAACTTTAAAGAACACAAAAATACTTCCCTATTTTAATAATTTCAGAAATATAGAATTATCAACGATAAAATAAACATTCACTTTACATTATTAACATATATATATTCCTGTAGTTTTTGAGCTATATTTGAGAAGATATTTGAATAAATATAAGCCAGCCCTTGATGTTTTATTTCTAAATAAAACAAGCAATTATTAGTGTGTAATTTATACAGAATCGGTGAGTATGTATTAGTTTGTAAATATTATAAATGCCATGTTTTATGAAGCCAATCTAAACATTTCTGCAAAAAACAAAAACAAATAATTTATTTTGCATAGTGTTATATTTCTACACACATAAGAAAGTATCATCTTCATGACTATTTAATGTTTTACCTTAACTCTGTCTTTAGGTTATATACACCAACTAATCTAAATGCAAGATTTTTTTCACTTTTCACCTAGTATTTAATATCCCTGATATAAAATCCACACAAACATACAGAAGGAAAGCAAATGATGAATTCACATAAATAGTTTTGTAAGTTATGTATACGATGTCAATATTCTTTTGTACCACTTTCAACTGTCTGTAAACACTAACATTAGCTATTTCATAATATATTTGTTTTAGTTTTCTCAATTATTTTGAAGATTTATGTAGATTATGAGATTCAAAAACAATGAAAAGATATTTTTGTACAAATGTAACAAAATTACAATAATTGTTATTTTGTCAACAAATGTTTTAGAGGTTTTATTTTAGTGTTTACAAAAGTTAATTGTTCTTTGCAATAAAAAAGGGGAAGTATGGTTCAACTAGGAAAAACCTTTAGCAACAAAAAGATTTCTTAAACATGACAGTTTTTACACCTACCTGGCTTCCAGCAGCGGTGCGTATGAGCTGTACTAAAAGCACTGTACCATATTAACTGTCGACAGCCATCATAAGCAATGGAAAACTCATCATCTCCTATGCCATACCCTTCCTTTTGAATAAAAACAAACTTATTAGTCACTTACATATCTTCTGATCTTTCAAATAGGCAGCAAATATTTTTTATAGCTTAAAACTGACTAAAGCTTTCATACACATTATACATTCTCTCAATTCCATTTTATTAAACTGAAAATTGTGGGTACAGTTTTCTCTTCTGATGAATGTAAGTACTGTTGAAATTTTAAGTTAGTTTAGTCCATCCACACTAAGATGTCACACAGGAGCTGGTGCCGAATCCTGGTTTCAGTGGCACAAGCAGATGAGAATAGAAACACCAGTACATCACAGGTTAGCCCCCACATACCAATTAGCATCTGTTATACAGCTGAAAAGGCTTGAACAAATGGAGTAAAGAGTCTTGCTAAAGGACACAGAAACATGTCACAAACAAGCCTTGAAATGGCAACCTCCCGATTATGAGTTCAAATCACTAGCCAACAGGCCATGCTGGCCTATATTTTGCAAATGTCAGTCCAAAATTCCACAAGATAAAATATTTGTCATATAAGATAGAAAAATATTCTATTGGTGAATCTAAATGGCAGTGTTTAATGTTCTTTTTGAATATTTTTTTTAAACATGAGACTTCTATTTAAACTTTAAATGCCATTTTTTGAGGGTGTTACTTATTAATATAACACTAACACATTCAATTTAGGTTTGAAATTTAAAAGTACACAAAGTGTACATGCACTGAATTTATGATAGACCCAAAGAAATTTTGCAATGAAATATCCAAAAAACATAAAAAATGCTCAGTATAAACAAAAACAGAACAGGGTTTTTGTCATAATCAAAACTGCAGATGACCTCAAGAAATCTAGAAATAAGCAGATATATATATTAACAAAAATAATTATTCTATAAAAATTTTAAACTAGATATGCATTTAATATTTCTTTCATAAAGACCCCCCCATGCTTCAAAAATTACTATTAGCCTGAATAAGCAGCAATCTACATATATTACAGCAGTAATAGAAAAATTAAAAAAGTGATGGAATTTTTTGTTTGCTTTCTGATTATACCTCTAAATACTAAAAGAAATAATTTGAGGTAACAAAACTGTCCATGTACCATTTATGTTGAATGTCTAAAGAGTTGGCTTACAACCAAGTCTTAAGATTTGCAACTGAAAATTCATCCCTCTAGGGAATATCACAAAGTTAGACTATGACAGTAAGTTGTTTCTTAACATTAGCTATGACCACGAAAAGCATCTAACACAAGCATTCCTACTTAATAATTTTGACACTTGTCACTTTTTTCTGTCCTGCACTTTTATACATGACCATGTCTTCATTGAGTTTTATTAAAAACAAAACAAAAAAATGAAGTAAGCTTATTGTCACACCCTTTTTTTCAATTGAGGCCAACAGTAAAGCTTGCGGTTCCTAGGATGGGAAATAAGGTTAACAACCTCATGATAGTCCAATAATCACATATACAGTAAACACCTCAGAATGCAAGGCAAAATGGATTTTCATGTTTTTAGATTCAGAAAAAACATAATCTTATATTTGGTCTATCATAGTATATAAAAATCTAACATACATGATTTAGAAACTTGCTGTCTTTGGTGGCCCATCCTATCTGCATCACACCTGATGTAACTATGGTAACTTCATAAAACCACACCCCTGAATCAACTTGAAATGTGCACCTTACACTTTCAAATGAAGACGCATCACATCGAGCCTATTGGGGGAAAGGAAGTCATAAAGTTATTCTTTAAAATTTTAACTAATATACAGTAACTGATTTTGTACATTAAGCAAATAAAATAATAAACTAAATACCAAGAAACTTTTTATAGTTTAATTTTTTTTTACAAAACTCTTTTAATTTACAACGATATAAATTTTTCATAATATAATTTTTTGGAAATTTTTTTAATTTAATATTTTCCGGACATTAAATCTCCCATCTGTTCTAAAGTTTTTATAAACAAATATTGGATATTAGTTTTCAGATTATAGAAAGTTCACCTTCAAATGAAAAGAAAAAATTTAAATGGGCTAAACAAATACAATCCTTATATTTTAACAGCCTTAAAAGTAAACTGTTTGTTGACTCAACAACATTGATATCAGGCCTCAGCTTGTGAATAAGATGACTTCTTTTATACAGAGGCTTCTTTCATCATTGTCCCTAGTTAAGATCTTAAACAAACTGGATGTGAAAACTATGTCACAACCTCATAGGGCATGTCCAACTATACTAGATTTGGTGGGTGATCTGAAACTTGAGTGTATTTTTATACATGCTATTAGATTCCTTTCTGTAGAGCCAATATAACAGCAAGGACAAGTAAATTTGTAAACTATTGAAAATGACTGTAACAAAGAAATATGGTCCTTAAATTAAACAATTGTTGGCAACAATTAGGTTTGAAAAACACCTTAATTTTACTTGTGAGTATACCATACGAATGACCCATCTTAGTTGATTCTTAATATCTAAGGAATAATATATATATATTGTGAACAATGGTGTCTGTTCAAGCATTCATCTGTCTCTTGTTTAAAAAGCTGCGTATGCAGGCATAGCTCAACATTCACTTTTGAAATGACGGGAGAACAGACGTGAATAATGTTGATGCCAAGCTTTATTTTGGAAGTTATTCTATACTAAATTGTTAAGAATTAATCACACTATTATTCACATTTCAAAATGTGATGTAACTTAAAGAATAAAAATTTGATTTACCATATGTTATTGCTGAGTGGCTCTTAGCATGACTGAGATGCTCAACAATTAATTTTTGCGGTGGGCGATATAAGTAGCTCAGAGCTTCGGCTCTGAGTGAAACTAAGAGTGGAATACAATTAACTTTTTTAAAGTTCATTAAATCATTGAAATTGATAGATTAACTTAAACTTTTGCACATCACAGGTATTTTTGCTTGCTAACCTATAAAAGGTAAATTAATAAGAACAGGGTACATAGAAACTTCAATTGGACTAACATTACACAAGTTTCTCTTATTTAAATATTCACAAAGTATATTCCATACATAATTATACAACTTTATTATAACTTATCCAACTAGCTTATTTACTCACCATAAGCCCATCTGCTGAAATCTTCAAATACTCACTAACATCATTACTGTTGAGCAAAGCATTTATATTTATACGATTTGTGTTTTCGTAAGCATAAGGCCTGCCCTAAAATACAAAAATATAAAACTATGAAACAAGACTGGACAAAACTTAAACATGTTTTTTTTCATTTAGAACTTTTTGAGGAATGATTTAGTTAGTGGTTTTGCATTCATTCAGGAGATTTTACAAATTTAAACTTTTTTGTATATTGAGACACAACCATAATTTAACTTGCTTCCTCCTGACAAAGGCATGTAGAAGTGAGTCGAAGCAGCCCATTGTTCTAACACAATGGCTGGAGTCTGTTAAAAACTCAAGAAATAAGTTTTATATTTACAGTACATTTCATTTAAATTGAAATATAAATATTAATCAAATATACATTCTAAACATGGATAACATTAATCCCCACAAATTTGATTAATCAAATGAACTAAATCAAAATGATTGTTACATCAAGTTCTTATTCATTAATATTTACAGAGATTTTGCTAAAAAAAAAAGTTGTTGTTCTTCCTTACATGCATGTAATTTGTACCACACTGTCAAGGTGTTATATTATGAAAGCTGTGCAAAAACAGTTCCAGCTAAATATTGAATTAATACTGGTTGGTTAACAATAAAAGCACAATACAGCCATTTTATCAATATCAATAATAAAAATAACAAAGCAAATCCACTAGTGTTCATAAAAGAAACTGACATAAATTTCAGGAAAGAACTTACCTCTTTCAGAACTGCAACATATTTCCACACACACATGGTAAACATGAAAGAAACACGGAAACAAGCTTATGAACATTGATTGCCAAAGGAAGATTCAAGAAAAAATACAGGCAGTTTTTAAAGTCAATGAAATTGAGCTGAAATGTTGGCAAACCAAAATAAGAACTGATATCAAAACCTTGTGCATAAAATTTTCAACAACCCTTCAATTTATTAAAACTTTTGGCATACTGTATGGTCAAAGAAATTTATTTGGCAAAATAAAAAAATAAAAAACACCCAGTAGATTTCAAAATAAAATTACAATAACAATTATTAAATTATACACACACACATATATATATACATATATTATATACTATAATTACACATTAAGAATAATATACATTTTAAATATTTTGATTATCACTTCAAAATGCTCTAAAGAAAAAGAAAGCTTAAGCATTTTCAAAAAGTGTTCTCTTCTTTATTAGGTGCAAAATAATTACTTGTTTCTCTAAGCATCTTTTTACTTGAAAAGTACATATTCTGACAGAGGAATACGATATGTCATAAAAATTCATAATAACGTAAAATATTCCATTTTCTCATCAGCAAGCATTTAGAAAAATGAGTAAAAAATGCATTTATCCATATTGCAGAAAATATTGATATATTTAGAATTTAATATAATTTTGACCTACTTATCTTATTTAACTGAAACAAGTTTACAAGGTTAGTTTCACAGTACATATTCTTAAGACATGAAACACTGTATTAGAAGTTTTTTTCTAAATGGTATGAGAATCAGTGGTAATAATGCTTCCTGCAGCATATATGCTAATATACATGAGTGATAGGTTATTTTCTATTGAAAAATGTGCATATTAAAGGCTAATCTACAAAGAACACATAAAAAGATTGATGTATTAACTTTTGTTTTTCACACATATCATAGGCAATATTAAAATATGTAAAACAAAAAATTCTTATTATCTGAAAATTTAAAACATTTTCTTTTACAGTTGGCTTATATCATTAAATTAAAAACTTTTCACAATGACACAAATAAATGTATTACTGAAAAAATAAAGTTGAAATGGACAACAACTGTCTAGTTCAGAGTGGTACTTGAAGATAGTTTTGAAGGACTAACCTACAAAGTTAGTTCAGGTAGAAAAGGTAATGTTTCAAGTCTTTTTTTATTCAGGTCAGTTTGTACTATTCATTGCAGGGGTTTATATGGTATCTGAGAAGAGTGAAGTGGATGTGATATGATCATCTGGTGGTACTGATAATGTGGTTAGAAGAACAGGTGATGACTTGACTAATAGTAGCCACAAGCTCTAATTTACAGACCTGAATATCTATTTAGTGATGGTTTCATTGTGTTAATGTAGAAAACTTCAATGGTTTTTCTTGTTTTCCAGAACTTCCCTGAATCACTGTGTCTATAATTGTCCCAGCCTATTTTATGTTCAGTCAATATGGCATGTTCTGCCAGGGTATAAATCTGTGTTTTCATCAGTTTTCTGCAATATTTTATGTTCTTTTATTCTTGCACCAAAATGTCTTACTGTTTCTCCAACGTAGGTCTGAAACACCATCATCAGTTGTTCTTTGTTTAGTTTTGACAAAGACAGATCAAAGTGTTCTACAAGGTTTCTTACGTTTTACACATACAAGAAGAGAATAGTGTTGGATTTGTTTTTGTCTGTTGTATCAGTTTGTATTTTTATGTTCTTCAAACTATTGGTGATAAAACTGGAATAGCATCTGTTCTATTTAAAACACTGTATGATGTCTCGGCCTTCAGTTTTGATGGTGTTCTCACAAAAGATGTTCTCAGCTCTGTTGTTCAAGCACTTATTGGGTTTAATAGAAAGTGCATGGTAAATGTGATCTTTGACATCCTTTTAAATCCTAGGGAAAACACTGTCTGGTCCTAGCGTTTTATAAGTTTTTAAACTCTCAAACCTTTTTTTTACTTACTATCAAAGGAATAATATATCTACATGATTCAGGTCCATTACAGTATTTCCCACAGAATGTTTAGGGTCAGAAGTACTGCTAATACCCTCTCTCTTGCAAAAATAAATAAAACATCTATATTTCAGCGATCTTAATCTTCAACAGAAGTCTTGCCATCAGCAACCTTTAAGTGCCCAATCCATCTTGTAGCATTTTGCTTACCTTTAACCAAATAAAAAAAAACAAAATCCTTGATGTCAGTTTTAATGCTATCAGCCAGCTCATTCTCAAAAGCACCTCCTGATTTTTTTTTCTAAACAATTCCCTATATTTCAAATCATTTTATCTCTGATTCCCTAGGCATAAGTAAAGCTAAAATGTCAGCTGCTACTTACACAAGTTGTCCAAACACCACTCAGCACAAAATCCTACTTGCTTCTTTACATAGTCTTCACTATCTACCCACTTCTCTAGTAAAAGTAAGGGGTTCTGGGGCAGAGATGAAAGGTATTTGTTGATTGTTAACTTATTTTCACCTAAATGAAGAAAAACAGTATATATCTATAACATATTTACAAAATACTAAGTACTATAAGATCCATAAAGTAACTAAAACTAGATTTCTATAATTTAAATTGTATTTGTTTGATACATTTAACAGAACATAAATACAAAAAATAGTTATAATACTGCATTTACTTTCAGAGAGAGAGAGAAGAAAAAAAAAAAGACTTCAAAATTGTTGTGAAACAGGGTTACACATGTTCCATCAAAATACTTTGTCCAAGTTATCTATAACTTATGCTACATTTCATAGATCTGCAGGAGTAGATAATGATCTCTTGAGGTAATTTTTCTTATAACATGTAATGTCCAAAAAAACCACAAAATAGGCATTACGTGAAAAACAATATTCCACATCTCTTGAACTGGCAGTACCATGCAGAAATGGATGGATTAGAACAGGCAACATATTCTATCTAAAGGGGAATACTCTTTGAGAATATATGTCTTGGCTGGATTTTTGCATGTAATAGATAATCATTTTCCTTGCTGACCCAAATATCATATAGCACGCCTTAAGAAATATGTCAAAAGCATAAGATTTTGCTTGTTTAAGCTGATAAACATTCAGATTTAGGGGATCAAGGTCATCTTCACATAGTTTTAGAAAGTTTCATGGACTTCCATCTTTTTCCACAATAACCTTTCACGACTTAGTCCTTGGGACTCCAAAATGTCCTGCAGTTTGTTGGGCACTTTCCATATTCAAGTCTGCATTTTGCTACAATATAGTGATAATTTGTATTTGTACAAGGTTAGGATGGTCACAACTGGAAAGGACATTAACAATTCAGATGTAATCACCTATGAAATGAATCTGTTGATTAGTGAATACCATATTCAGTAACTTACATTGCATGGTATGGCCATTGACTGCTTCCACTACCCTGTGCACTTTGGTAACCAATATTGATATCAGTTGTGTGTTGCTTGCATCTTTGAAGGAGGATTATGCTGTCTGTGTCATGTCAAGGTCACACATAAGCTCAAGTCATCTCTAAAACCATGGTCCACAACATCAACATCATATAGTTGTATCCAATTTCAGATGTCTTCAACAAACATTATTGTAGCATTATTGTTTCTCCCACCAGCAAGGTATGTTCCCAAAATATACATCATGTACCCAGGGGACATTGTTATGAATGCTCTAACTCTTTCATTGGAATGCACCTTTTTTGTATATAGACATAACATCCATCTAGAAGTAGGGCTTCCATATCACCCTCCCCATCAGTCACCAGTCATCTTGTCAGAGAGCTAGGTGAATGAAAATTACTTCTTGATGATAAATAAGCCCAAGTTCCAAATAAAGTAAAACAAAGTTACTGATAAAAGCTGCACCAGCCTAGTAGACCATATCTGACAAGTCAGTATGAAGCTTAACAATAGGACAACTAGGTATGCTTGCAAAAATCTCACTTGCATGTTTTTCAAAGATAGAAGTCGGGATGTTATGGCATCAAAGTAAATCTTTGTCATCCTGTATGACTGAGATATTCCTCTTCTGTGAGTCTGTGACTGATCAAAGTTTATATCTTTAAATCTCTGTGCTACTATTCTAATGCTTTCCATTAAGTTCGTGACAGTGACAGTGGCAACTCTTTATTCCAGCAGAAATAATAAGCTGATTTATAAAATGTGGGTTGTGTTTCAAGTGGAACAATGTTGAAGTAAGTATCGACATTTACGGCAAACAATGTACCTGGCATTATTTCTAGTTTCACACTCTTTGAATCTGACAAGTCAGGAACAATGCTTGTAAGGGAGAGGGAAGAAATAAGCAGAGTCATTTGTGTCCATATAGTCTACTGCAGTGACTGGGTCATGATGTACAGTAGATTGTTCATAATGATAATAATGCTGGTAACATTTATTGCAGAAATCATCATCAGATACAGACACTTTTTTTTTCTAATAAGATAAGTTCTTTGTTCTACATTATAGTCCACAAACAGATCTTCTCCCTTTGATATTTGCTCTAAAATGACAAACAATACATCTATATTCTTTAGGCATTGTGAACTAGGTACCTGTGTACTGATTGTAAAAAGAATGGAAGGTTCTTTTAAGATGTATAAGTAACAACATGGAAAATCCTCACTTGTTGACAAAGTAATAATTTGGTGTGAACAACTGTACAAAAACCATCAAAATATGAGATGGTGTGATTGGCTATAATACTGTTTATTAGCTTGTTTTTTTGCTTTTTATTAATATGTTGGACCCTATCTGGTTTTTGAGCTAACTTGCATATTGACCATGTCAAATAATAGCAACAAAAACATTTTACAAACAATGCTGCACTAACAGTAATCTCAATACATTATTTAACAAATTGATATTTTAACCCCAAAAATGTTGAGTGGATTCTGCAAGCAAAATAATTTAAATATATCATGTAGTTGAAGGTGAACAACATAATGAAGGTTTTTGTTTTAAACTCCATTGGTGTTGAAAGACATTTCCAAAATGTGGAAAATGATCTAAATATTAGCAAAAGTAGTTTATTTATAGTTAAGCACAAAGCTACACAATGGGCTATCTGTGATCTGCCCACTATGTGTATCGAAACCTAGTTTCTAGCATTGTAATTCCACAGACATACCACTGTGCCATTGGGAGGGTGCAAAAGTAGACAATACCAGTATTTTAAAGTGATAAATACTATATTAAACCAAAAAATGAACCAAAAAACATTTCACCTAACAACAGTAAAGTACTTGGAAAATACTGTTAATTGCAAAATAATGGTATGGATAATTAATTTTTGCTCATTTCCTGGAAGCACTTCATCTATTTCATACTACATAGTCTCTTGGGATGCAACAAAGTAATTAAACATTAGCTATAATTAATACATAAAAAACTTTTAGATTTAGGTCTACAAATATAAAAGAATGTTTGAACTACAATGTGAGAATAATCTAGTAAATCTCTATGTAGCAATACTACCATATGAATATAAGTAGAACAAATCTGATCCTAGATATACCAAGTCTATTTGTTTGCACATACATAGCCAATGAACCTCTTGATAAAAATAATACTATTCTTGCCTTTTAGGTACAAAATAAAAATGTAAAAAATGTATATATTTTTTCAAACAAGCTTTTTAATCTTGCATCATTTAAGACTGTTAAAATATCTACTTTAGTATTTAATATCATAATTTAAATTCCTAAAATTATAATTCTAACATACATCTTAATGTAAACATTAAAAGAAACATTTCTTTTTTTAAAAAAACTTTTGAATAATCATCTCAGTACATTCCTAACATTTTGAACTTTCACATTAAAAATAGTTATTCTACATTCAAACCTTCAGTTTAATTAATTATATTCTGGAAATGACATAGCAAGGATAAGGTTTCCAATTTCCAATATTCAAAAACACTTAATAGTTGAAAAAGAAAAGAATAACAATCAATATGTATAAACAGAAGTTTACACTTTCCTACACCAAAAATATATTTCTGATAATATTTAACTCCCTCTCACACTTTAGCTTTATCCCCAAAAAAGTTTCTCTTCTCTACCATCTAAGCATTGGTATGAATTATACCTCGTTTGCTCCAGTCTTTATACCCCAATACTCTCTCTACCTACATCAATGCATCCTTTACACCAGATCTATATACAAGCTTCCCATTATTACTTCTTATTCATTTTTTTTTAGACTGGCAAAATTACCAGACCCGAACACTGCCCATTGTGGAGGAAGGGCGGGAGAGTGTGATAGGAGGTAAGTATTATCGAAAATACATTTTCGGTATATGAAAATGTAAACTTCAAAACACACCTCTGCTTACACTTTAGTTAGAATCCCACATTGACAAGGTGAGGGCAAGATCCACACAGAAAGAATTAGTGTAGAAAACATATGCAAATTGAGATATAGTATAGTACACTAATGGGGCACACACTACTTTTGGAACAGGTATGCTCTTTGCCCAAATAATGTGAAACCTAAAATGTAGGTGGTAAAGGTTAATCGGCCACAGTGTCAAACCATAACATTGTGAGAAGAAACATGCAAGGAGGGACATCTATTCCAAATCTGGTTCCTCCTGCAATATACATCTAGTCTGGAAATATTGTACATGCTTTTGAGAGTTGTCCAGGCCCAAACCATGCAGATGAGGTTCCACATCTCACTGTTGGAATTATAGGGTTGTGGATCCAAAGCTAGATCCAAGGTGCAGTGGCTAGGGCATGGCAGTGTGATATAAAGGTATTATAGCAATATGATATTAAGGGAACCTAAACTGAATGTTACAGAATGTTGCATGTTGAGCTACCAGAATTATGAAGAGAAGGCAAGCAATACTAAAGTGGACAAACTCTCAACCCAACCTGAAGAAGCACAAAATGCTACAAATCAAACTTGGAATTATGGGCCCACTCAACCTGAAAGTTAAAGAATGTTGCATGCGAGCCACTGGAATTACAAAGAGAAGGCAAGCAACACCTAAGTGGACAAGCCTTCCCCCAACCTGAAGAAGACAAAACGCAACAAACCGAACTTGGAATTACGGGGCCTTTCATGCCTCACTCAACCTGAAGAAAAAAAAGACCATCTGGCCTGGGATTACAAACCTAAATCCTAACTCCCCAATCTGAGAGGCAAGGCAATACCTTGGATGTGGAACAAAGTTCAACCAATGGCAGAAGGACTTGACACTCTGCATGCTGAATTACAATAAGTCAAGGGCCCTCTTCCATGATCATGGAAAGTAATATAAGGATCAAAAAGAAGAGCCACACTCAACACAACTGGATAGTTGAATTATCAGGAGGATCCCATGTAGGCTGGTTCTGCACCACCAGATATCTGGGAAAACCATAGAGTTATGGGTGGGAGGGTATCCAGCATTGCCCTCTTCTCCTTGAATGGAATAAAGTGTTCAAACATCACTCAGGAGGAATAGACCTCTCTACACCACTCTAGCAACTGGAAATTGGGAGTGGTAAGGACCCCATGCTCCACTATGGAGAAATGGAGGGTGAATAGTGTTGAGGAGTCCTGAAGAATGATGCTCCAGAAATGGTGCAATAGGTAAATCATTTTTCCTATTTTGAAAAGCAAACTAACCCTGAGTTATTCAATCAAGGGGTCAGCAGGTTTGGACAAAATCCCTTTATGTTTTACTCATGATATTCCATGACTGGCAGTCCAGTATTGTATATTATGTATTATACTAAATAATTGTGTACTACCTGGAAAGCACCAAGCTGGTCTTATGGAACACCCCATCTCAACAGAGATTGTTGCTACCAGGAATTTTATTTATTAGTCTACTGGTAGCTAGTGCAGATTTGAAAAAGGATACCTGACCAGGCAACACTTGCTACTGAGTGGGATCCAAATGATAATGATGAGAGGTCCCTGAAAAGGAATAGAATAACACAGAAGAAATTAAGTCACACACCTCTGTCACAATCAAGCTGGGACATGTAGAATAGCCACAGGGGGTAGCTGAAACCAATCCGAGGAAGAAACTGCTAAATGTAAATAGTGTGATATGAAGGTGTTTGGTGTGGTCCACATACCAGCCTGTACAATTTCCTCCACTGGGCGATGCAACCAAGCTGCCAGGAACATCGAGGTATGTCAAACTTGATGAGATGAGAGCCGAAGAAGTCTCCACTCCTCCAATGAAAGCCCAGAGTAAGCCATACAAACCAATTGACAAATCCAACCTGTCAAAGTGAACAGGGATAAGTTGCATGACACAGTAGGATCCCATTAGATAAACAAATGGTGACATGAACCCCGAAATGCTTCAGTATGTGCCACATAACATCATAGAGCCCGAACTGTGCATAATAGACTATCCAGATCCGAGCAGTCGTATAAAATGAAATGGAGGGAAGATGAATAGGAGAGAAAGCCTTATCTCCTTCTCTAGCTGTTCAAGGTTTGGGTAGAAAAACCTGTCTGGATACAACAGAACATAAGTGGAATGATAAAGAATCCTATGAACATGAAGTGCAAACACATCCAAACATCAATGCCTCCTAGACAATAACAGAAAAACAAGTCTTAAGTAAAAGATGATATAGTGAACATGGCCCCAAAGGTTCAAAAAGTGGATAAGGCATGGAGAACCACCATTAGGAACTTGGAAAGGTCAACGAGGTTGGATAGCCCAAAATGATTTCAGAAGTAATGACAAAACTGGGGATTTAAAAACTTTTCTTCTCTTAGAAAAACAAAAGGTAGCCAACAAAACAGTCTTACACAAAGCAACAGATGAAGATGCTAAACCTTTGTTAAATAACCATGTCAGAAATTGAGAAATATGTGGCACAGTGGGGCCATTAATGACAAGTAAACCATTTCCTTTGATAAACTTCCAAAGAAAAATGCTGACTGGATTGTGTTAATAAGGATGCCACCCAAGAAGCCAATACCTGATGTTGTGAGATAGACCGCATAAAAGTCAAGCTTGAAGTTGAAGAACGTTGACTGCTGGATGAAAAATGTTCGATCGAGGCTGATGTACGAGAGATGGCCAGAGAGATACTGGAGGAGTTGAAACCAAGACTAACCCAGCCATTGTGGTGCCACCAGAAGAATTTGACAGGACATGGAGTGAATCAGTGCAAAAACCTTGAATAACAGATTAATCGTAGGGAATGCATAAAGCCAAAGGGTGAGGTACAGGAGACCAGAACGATGGAGCTAAGCATTCCACTGTGTGGCAAAAGCATCGATCTGTGGTGTTCTGAGAAGAAAGCAGATCCAGTGAAAAACTTGAGGATGAAGCATCCATTCCATGGGAAGAGCTCCATTGGGAGGAGATAACTGGTCGGGTACTAAATTTTCATTACATCTGGAACATAACAAGCAAGGAGAATGATCAGATGTTTGTGTGCTCAAAAGAGAAGATCCAATGTTCGAAAGCAAAGAGATCTGGAGTGAGTGCCCCCTTGTTTTGAAATTTAGGAGACGGCTGTGGAATTGTCCAAGTGAAGCATTACCACCTTCCCTACAACAATCAGAGACACTGAGTCATTGCTCATTGAACTGCTACAAGTTCTAATAAATTGATGTGAAGTTTGCTTTTCTGTCCAAAGGCCTATACAAGTGTCCCAGCCCTGGAGAGAAGCATCTGTGAAAAGATGTATCTCTGGACATTAAGGCAGTAGAGGGACACTGACTGTCATTTTGTCCATGTTCAACCATCAGCCATGATCTTGCAAACTGGAATCCAACAGGACCACCTGACAATCTAGCGCATCTGTGCAAATGTTCCACTGGTCCTGTAACGCCCATTGAAGGGTCCGTGTGTGAGCACGATCCAAAGGAATGAGTGATTCCAAGGATGCCCACATCCCCAAAAGAGATAGAACTGCACATGCTGGTGGAGAAGAAAACTACTGTATTTTAAGAACTAAATGTTCCAGGGCCTGAAGGCATAAAGGAAAAAGTTGGGCCAGACTTAGTATGGAATGGAAAAACATCCCTAAATGGATGAGGTACTATGTAGGAGTAAGAATAGACCTCTCCTTTTTAATAAGAAATCCAGATCTCACAGCTTCTGCTAACAGAGTTTGAATATGAAGTTCTGCCAAGTGGCAGAAAGGGGGAACAAGAAGGCAGTCCTCCATGTAATGGTGAGTGTGAATGGCCAAAAGTGAAAATGACATGAAAAAGATCTGACTATCCAGCACAAAACATATGGGGCAGATGCAAAGCTGAATGGAAGAGCACAAAACTGAAAAAATCTCACTGTCATGGTATGCATTGGCAACATCAAATGTTGTCATCCATAGACTGGATAAAAAGAGCCATTGAAGGGAAAGAAAAGACTTCATTGTAAACCAAGGAGGCTGGAGGAATCGATTGAACTGAGAAAGGTCGATGACAGGTTGCCAATTGCCTGTCTTTTTTGGTACTACAAAGAGCTGGCAATAAAAACCCTTGAAAGAGGAGTCAATGCACCCTATGGCCTCTTTGTGCAAAAGATCCTGGATGTCTTGTGCTCAATGGCTGGATGTAAGAGGGCCCTTCAGGAGTGGAAAGCCAATCATTATGAGAGAGAGAGAATGGAGGAGGAGATATGAACTAAATGACCAATCCTCTCCCGAGAACTTGAATGACCCACTGATCTGTGGTGAAAGTCTCCCATACTGGCATGAACACTGTGAGTTGAGACCCCACAGGACCCAACCCTATAAGGTAGTCACCGACGCCGTAGTTAGTCTGCACTCCACCCTAGAGGAGGATACCTGTTGGTAAGGTTGGAATTGCCCTTGTGTTCCAATGGATTGTGGTGCCAAAGATGCACGTCTGGAAACTCGAACGGGAGATGCAGGAAATCATCCTGTAGAAGACATGTGGGACAGTTGAGAAACTAAGTTAGAAAGGGAAGAGTGGAGATGGGCCACATTCACTCAAGATTTCACGAAATAAGGAATACTAGCAAAAGTAGATTGTTTAAGAAAAGGAGCTTCTCCGAGATCTCTATGGGCCAAAGAAGGAAGGCAAACTCCCACCAGCAAGGCATCCTCTTTCCAAAAGATCCCAATAACAAGTCAACCAAGATACCAAGGAGAGAACAGAAACCAATAATGTGAACAACGTAGAAGTCAATAAATGACTAAGATCATCTGTAAATTGTATAGGAGATCTGTGATAAGCCTCAGACAATAGTTGCAAAGATAATAACAAATGCAAAACTGTTGTAAGTGACAAACAAATTCTGGAAAACTGAGATTGATTAAGGTAAACTATGGCATCTTGTCTAGAGCCCCAAGCAGGAAGAAGAGGATCTAACCTCAGAGTCCAAATAAGGGTTCTACAGGCAATGGAAAGCCAAGGCATGCTCATCCAATAAATGAGGATCAGCAAATCTCCTCGCATGTACAGCAATGTCTGGTGAAGGATCAGGTAATCAGACAAATGATTTTCCCCCCCAATAAAAAAGATTTATCAGCTACAGGAAAATTACTCAAAACATTACAAACATGGCGTATTAGTTGCAAAAAACGTGCAGGAGACAGAATGTCTGTCTGAGCAAAGGAAGGTGCCAAAAATATAAGTCTAAATTTTCACCAGTCTGCTCTTGATCCCCTGTAAAGTCAGCTTCAGAGCCAACAGGAGAAAAAACATCAGACCACATGTAAGACTCAATCTCTCTGTGTATAAAGAACTGTATGTCTTCCATGGAAAGTGTTCCCCCTCTGATGCCCAGGTAACAACAGACTCATGAGGTGGTAAAAGAGGAGCATCAGGCGACTCTGAGACATGAACATGTGTATTCATATTCGAAAAACATCTTCAAGATGTTTTTTTTTAATAAAAAGATAAATAAATAAACTCAAGACCCACTAGAACAGGTCTAAAAGAAAACCAAAATAAAATATCAAAAATGTAATAATGTTGAAGATAAATCTGCAGTAATCACATAAGACCATTGTCATAATTTCTGTCAAGAAAAAGTGAATAAAAAGTATTAATGGGGAGCTTATATACATACCTGGTATAGAGGGTGCACTGACATAGGTGTAGAGAGCCATAAGATTAAAATCTATATAGTGGGGTATAAAGGCTGGAGCAAGCAAGGTATAATTCATACCAATGCTTAGATGGGCAGAGAAGAGAAACTTTCATCAGGATAAAGCTAAAGTGGGAGAGGATGTAAGCATGTTTTGGAAAACATAATACAAATATTTAATTATTTTCTGTAACAAACACAAATTACACTGTATAACTCACTTGTTTGAGCAAATTTTTCTAAGGCAATCAAGGAAAAAAGTGTGACAAACGTGTTAAAATCAGATACCTGAAAAAAAAAAACTTAATTAAATTTTACACTAACATAGATATTTATTCCAAACAAAAGAGTGTTAACATTTTCCTCACCTGAAAATGTGTTTTACACAGATACTTATCTTTCTACAGGACAGATAACTAATACGCTGTGCCACTGCTGAAATTTTTTTTGTGCACCAAGCCTTTGAGCACTAGCATTTCAACAAAGGATCATTTACAATGAGGCAAAAGAAACACACTACATCTAGATATGAGAAAGAAGGTGTGAAGTTTTTTGGAGAACTAAGTAGCTATCTGAAATACATTTTTAAGTAAGGAAAATGCTAACCTAAGGAACAGTACTCACCTCTCCACATAACAGGTAGCTAAAATCCCACATTGAGAAGATGGTGGAAGGAGAAGTGTACATAAAAAAAATTTAAAGGACGAGATTCTCTCTGAGAATATACTGACAGAAAGGGAAAACTCACAGAGTGTGTCATCCATTAAAAAGGAGATAATGAGGAACCTATTGGGAGCATCATTCAGTAGGAGACCACAGAAAGTTCAAGCATGGAATAGTCTTCACTCAGTACAAGTAGTAATGCCCTAAGGTACTGTTAAAAGAACCTCCGGTGTGGTGTTAAATTGCTGCAGAGGTGAACAAAATTTTATGGTTGCTCAACACGATTGTATATCTCAGATGATCGAGAGACTATGTATGTGTAATATGGCTAGGGCAATAATCCCAGATCTGAATCTTGAGGAATGATCTAGTTGTTACTGTAGGGATTACTTGTATTACACTTCTAGCTAAACATCCCTGCTCTACTTCCAAAGGAAGGGATCACCTACTTAATCTCATACAATGACCTGAAGGGGACCTCTCCATATTAACCCCCTCAGTGAGTAGGTTCTGAGGAAGCAAGAGTTCTCCTACTCCACTAAAGTAAAACAGGAGGGAGAAGCTTGTAAAGGGAAAAACACTAAAGAAGTGCTCAGACTGAATAGGAATAATCACATCACCATATACAGTGCAATGACTTACAGCAAATAAGGACAGCAATAACTGGTCAGGTGAGAGGGCAGTGAACCATGATGGTAGTTTTTTGGAACTAGCAATACAACTTGGAATGTAAAATATGTAAACTGCTGAAGCAATGTTGTGAAAAACCTCATCCCAACAGCAGACACTGAGGAAGCAAGGGTTCTCCCACTCCACTTAAAGAAAGCATGAGAGAGGAATCTGTATAGGAGAAAATACTAAAGAAGTGGCCATACTAAAAAGAAATCATCACATCTCTATGTTCTATAATGACAGACTGTGCAATGGCTTACTGTGGATAGGGACAACAGGAGCTGACTAGGTGAGAGAGGGCATTGAACCACATTGGTACTGTTTTTTGGAAGTAGCAGTATCACATGACTAGATTAGCTTAACACTTTCTGTTATCCCGTACTTGATGTGGATTTTGGGAAAAGTATTCCCTGTGAAGCAACACTAGCCATATGGTGGGTTTCATTGCCCCAAGTGTGTATGTGTGCATATATAATTTTTTTTTGTAGTTTGGAGTGGTTGCTAGTTTTTTGTGGAACCTGTAAGAAAAAGAAAAATAAACAACTAACATCTTTAGAACTTCTGGAAAGACTAAAGAATGGCAATTGGAGGGAAATGAATCCCATACGTGTGATACAAAGGTGTTGGGGGTTGTCCACACCCTGACCTGCAATATCACATCCAGGGAATGTTGATGACCAGAGGCAAGAGAAGCTGTGAGTTTACAAACTTTATGAGAGGGGACATGAAAAAGATTAAACAAGTCATCTTTCATAGAGGAATAGATAAGTCAGTTGAGTTGTTTCACCCAACTGTCAAAGTGGAACGAAAATATGAAAAGACTATAGTGATTACCTCAGAGGAGAACAGCACATTTGAGATAACAGCAAATGACTGGAGTCTATACAATCGTATAGAGAAGAAAGGGAAGGGAGGGTGATTGGAGAAAACATCTGATTACTCTCCAAAGCAGCCCAGATCTTGTGAAAGGAGTGGTTTGGGAATAAAATTAATGTGTCCTTGTGAGAAAGTGTGTGGGAGACATCCAAGGCAAAAATATCAAAGCAACAGGGAACAGGTGGCTAAAGGTTTGAATGGAAGAGCACTGAAAACTAAACAGAAGTTTCAGTCCAGGAACTGGATGAAGAGGACAACTAATTAGAAAGACTTGGAAGAATTCTGTAAGAAACAGAGAAAGTAGAATGGCCAAGGAAAAGAGGGAAGTAACTGGTAATCACAGAAACAGATAGATTGCCCTCAAAAAGCCAGGTAAAAAAGAAGGAAATGAGATGAGGAAGAGCCAGAAAACTTTAAGGAAGTGAGTGATGAATGGACCAGCACTGATCAATCATCCACTTGTGGTGATAAACTGCAAAGGTGGATAGCCAACATAAGCAAGCAAGGAAACAGGCTACTCTTTAAGAAAAACCTACCCATTTTGCAAGGAACTGGACATGTGAAGATGAAGGTGTGGAACAAAGTGGTGAAGTTTAGATATCTGAAACTGACAAAAAAAAAAGGAACGTCCAAGGCAGAATAGATAAAGGGCCCCAGGACTGTTATGAGACAAGAAATCATAATTGAGATAGCCAAAGAGGGGGCAATGAGTAAGGGATGCTGTAAGTTATACAGCATCTTGGGAAGAAGTTTAAGAGGAGGATACGTACACAGAAAGAGAATGGACCAATCAAGAGTCTGATGGAATACTGTCAGGATCATGAAGTCTGGAACTGGTGATCAAAAAAGTGGAAGCTTGGTTTAAAGAGGAATCATATATGCATCGCTAAGAGAACTACAAAAAACCCAGGTGTAAAGTCCAGTCTGTCAGAAGGCTCCTGTCCAGGCAAGACAGCCAATATGACATTACATTTAAAGCTCTCAGAACAACCAAATGTTGCTGTCGTGAGCTCAAAAATGAAGCTTGAGAAGAAGAAATCAGAGGTCCCATGAGCAAGCACCTCCTTAATGGTTGATGTACGAATCAACAGTGGAATTGTCAAAATAGATCAAAACATGATGTTCAGACAGCAGATGGTGAAAGGTCTATTGAACAGTATACATTTCAAGAACATTGAGGAGGTATGTAGGAAACAACACTAAAATGGTAAAGTTATCCAGAACTACAACCAACTCAGCTAGAAAGACATCCATGAACAGCAGATTGAGGGTAAATAAAGTCAAAGTTGAAGAAGAAGAAAATTTACAAGCTGAGGGAAGAATATATTCAATGGGGTAGAAGTACTAGAAAAAAAGGTAAAATTCCAATCACATGCCACATAGAGATGGAGTCTGAAGCTTGGGAAGGACATGTCAACTGAGAGTCAACACAAAGAAGAAACAAGAAGAATATACAATTATGCAACAATCAGGTGAGGGAGAAAGAGGAGAAAAAATCTTATGAACTGAGGTGCAAGAAACTTGCTCAAGAATCAGTAGAAACAACTGCAGTAAAAAAGACAAATGTCACATTCTTGAGTTATATGAGTAGCAAAGGACAAAGATGGGTGTTAACTGATCCTTATCAGTGATACAATAATCAGAAAAAAAAAAGCAGGCAGGTTCAGCAGAAATTACAGAAGCAGGAGAGCATGAAACCTTGGTTCATATGACAATTGTAGGATAGAACCAACCATATGATGTATAATAGCAGTAAAAATTCTCACCATCAAAGTAACTCCAGTCACCATTTAAAGAAAATATAACAACTCTTATCAAAGAGAGTCTGGACCTCCAGAGGTTTCAGAAACATGAAAATGGGATATTGTATTCAATAAGATTTTATATTCTTATTTTAACAGGTATGCTTATGGTACTAAGACCTTGGTCATTTACATTTTGACAAAATAGAAAGTAATTACTGAAATATGCACAATGTTAATGATGATGATGGCGAACATTCCTGTCACAGAAACCATATCACAGACTATGGAAAATATGTCACTAAATCTCATATTTTGGTTAAGACAAAAAAAATCAAATTAAGGTAAGAAAAGATAATTCATATCAGAAGCTCTAACCAAACTAATTTTAAAAATCTGCATCTTTTTTTCTTGTAGTTAAGGAAAGATAAGGTAAGAAAGATAACACTTTGAATATTAACCAAGTAAAACTTCAAAATAATAAGTGTAAAATTTCTATAACTCTTAATAAAATAAACAACACAACTGAACACTGCAGTGCTGAGAAAAAGAAAGCTTTTGGTATACATAAAGTGCTCAAGTGCATGGAAAGTATACCATCTTTCTATGAGTGGAATGGTATAACCTAATGCTGAAGGCATCATATAGTGGCAAAGAACAAGTTTTTAAAAGTAGGGTTGGAAATATTCATTAAAAAGCTTGGTGCATGGAAAAAAAATTTTGGCAATGGTCTGAGCTATTAATCATCTCTTATGTAAAGAGGCGAGTAGCATTTCTGAAGTAATTATTTTAAAGTACGAGAACCTAGACTAAAATTATACTTTTTTTATTGGAAAAAAGTGGAAATTGAAATGTCAAAGCAAGAAATTGGATGCCCATGAAAATAATAAAAATAACTATTTTGAATATCCGATATTATTTGTCTATCACCAAAACCTCTTACTGGAAAATGAAAAATAACCATTTTTTTTTACAGGCAATACAAATAAAACTTTTTAAATATATAGCAATACAGCAAATCATTGTAAACTTACAAACAATATGAAACATTTGTCTACATTCAATAAAAATGTAAATTTAGGCTAGCAATCTTAACTGGTACAAATTAAACTAAACATTCCTTCAGTGTCATTTTTGTACATAGGTTATTTTTAATAAATAAATGACAGAGATGAAACAGGCTTTTTTCACAACATAAAAAAATTTTGTATTTAACAATTAGTCTCCTACCTTATGATGAACTTTATTAGGTTCAATGTTTTGCTGCATATGAAGATAAGGAATAATGATATTTTGGTTACAAATTTCAAAAAGGCAAATTTTGAAAGGATGTGAAAAGAATTGTCTGTTGTGAATCAGGCAGCCAAGATATTTGGAGATACTGATCAGATGTGGGAAAATTTTTAAATACTCAAAACAAAATTACAATATTGTAAATGATTAACCCTATGTGCATGGTTGGGGGTCAAAGTGTGCATGCCACAACATTTTACAGAGTGCCATTCAACATGGTAATATGTACTTGATGTCAAAGTTATCAACTATTCATTTTACCCTTCATTGCTAATTTAGTGAAGTTCATGGTAGAGGAAAGTAAATAACAAATACAATATACAAGGATACTAAAAAAACTAGATATGTATTTTAGAAGTTCTAGCAGTTATGCAAATGCAAACTATATGGTGGACAAAAATATTTTTATTCTTCACATAAACATCTCCTTGCACTCAGACTTATCAGAGTCAGACTGATGTTGTCAATTCACAGACATATCTTGAATACAAATACTTTAGTAACACATGATTTTTTTGTGTTTAACAAACTTTTATATTTCACCAAAGACTTGCCGTATTTTGTATAGATAAACATAATAAATTTAGAGTTCTGGTCAATGTTATTTTTTCAATATATCTCCTATACATTGGGGTTAATATAGAACTATATTTTTTTGTGCAAGAAAGAAATGACAAATTTTAATGAAACCACATTTTCCATATGTAGTCTTCTTTTTAATACATTTTTGGGTGTGGGTATAAAATCCAATATAACTTTACCACCTGTTGCAAAAAGACAAATTAATTGAAATAATATGAAACTTAACACAAAGTTTCTACAGCTTATGTAACTTATAGAAAATAAATTATATCTTTTTTTAATATATGATATTAGTATAAGTTACTGAGAACCCAACATAAACAAACGAAAAAATCAAAGGGAATCCATCTTAAATTGAACAAAACAACCCTACTCTAAACCAACAC